AAAAAAATGTAAATATATATAAACAAGGTACTAATGAGGTACCAATCATATACAAATTTACAAAGTTATTACGGTGACAATAACATTCCCAAAATTTTCATCTCTAATGATGTCATGACCCAACACAATGTTACCAAAATAATTAAACCATACTTCTCTTAGTTTATTAATATCCCTCTCAATACCATCAAACGCCCTCTTATTCCTTTCTTTCCAAATGGCCTCAAAAAAGGTTAAAGGGATAATTTTAACAATATTTTTTTTCAGGTCAATCCCACTCCAAGCCCAGATCTCATCAAAAACCGAAACAGAGATGACCCAATTGATACCAATCAGTCTATAAATCTGGCACCATAACTCATGGACCACCTCGCAGTGAAGGAGTAAGTTGCAGTAGGATTTCTCAGCCCTCTTACATATAAAACACTCATTAACCACAATCTGGTCTCTAATCTTCAGCTTATCAAGTGTCAATATACTTCCTTTACAAGCCTCCCACGCGAAAAAAGCAATTCTAGGCGGGCCCCTGGAATTCCATATCTGTCTTGAAGGGAAAAGGGGAATGTTTTCCTGTCCAGTCCCTACCAGCTGCCGATAAAGCGAATCAACCGTGAATTCACCTTTTTTGTATGGTTTCCAATGAATCTGGTTAGCTTCACCACTAATTTGACATTGTGAGACCAGCCTCAAGACCTCTTCATAATTAAAGACCTCTCAATCATTTAGATTTCTAGAGATGTTCACTGTCCAAGACAAACTTCCATTTTCCGTTGCATATGCCTCCTCAACTCTCATGTTTTTAGATTGTGCAATGGCATATATTCTAGGGAATCTGGTTTTCAAGCATCCCCCATCCAGCCGCTCATCATGCCAAAACCTAATACAGTTTCCCCTACCTAATTTCTAATTGATGCACTCTTTAAATCTCGGCCAGCCCTGTTTGATATTCTTCCATAAAGCCAGGCCATGGCCCCTGCAGTCACGGAAACCCTCCTCAGCAAAATCAAGCCTGCCCCATTTAGCAACTATAACATTTCTCCAAAATCTGCCCGCTTCCTTAAAGAATCTCCATAGCCACTTGCCTTGAAGAGCCCTAGTCATATGAACCAAGGATCTGATATTCAAACTGCCCATGATATGAGGTTTTTTAACTTTCGACCATCTCACCAGGTGATACTTTCTTTTCTCGATACCATCCTCCCATAAGAAGCGACATTGAATTGATTCCAATCTTTTTACAATGCTAACCGATATAGTTAGGGTGGTAAGATAGTATATTGGGAGATTAACAAGTGTACTTTTGATTAGAGTGTATCTTCCACCTTTTGATAAGAAATTCCTCTTCCAAGTCGCAAGCCAGTTCTCAAACATTTCAACCACCGGTTCCCATGTTTATTTATCTTTGTATCTCGCCCCTAGCAACATCCCTAAATATTTTATGGGAAGCTGCACAGTCCTACACCCAAGGATCTTAGCCAAACTGCTATCATCACCCGCACTTCCCATCCTTACTAATTCCGATTTAGATAAGTTAATGTTGAGTCTCGAAACTCCTTGTAAGCCAAGGAGGATGTACTTAAGATGCAGTAAGTATTGTTTTTTCGGCTGCAAAAATAATAACGTGTCATCTGCAAAGAATAAGTGAGATACCTCAACAGAATTATCACCTCTTCCCACCTGCATGCCAACCAGCTACAGTTTTTTAGCCCTTTCCAACAAGCCATTCAAA